GGAGTTGCTAGTGGTTTATTCTATACAATGATATCTATGCACCAACTTGAGGGGTAGAATTGAAATATATAGGAATATATGTACCAACTTGTAGTCTTTGTTATTGTTAGGGACTAAAGTGCAAATTTTCCTTTCTCCATCCTGTATATATTTGGTTTATATCTATCAATAATTCAATTTCTTTTCTCTCAAATCCCGACTTAAAATAATAGAAGTCTTACTGAATTGGAAGTCAACTTCTACAAAGAATGCCAAGAAGGAAAGTCTTTTGACAAGTTATTTGAATGGCTCAGAAATCAGCATAAATAATATCAGAATTTTGGTGAGATGTAACTAACTTGAATATCCCATTTTCCCCTCAATAAAAAAGTAATGATTTATCTTGTGTGTATACTATAACTTAGAGACATTTCAGAAATACTAATATGTGGTCTTTCTCTTGCTGTATTGTGAAGATTAGATGATTTTAGAAGTAAGAAATTGGAGCTTCATTTTTCCCTCGATAAAAAGTCTCTCTCTTGATATTATTGTTTAACCTGATTCAGAAGCTCGTAACAAAAATGACAATGAGAAGCCAATCTTTCAGCTTATGATCATCTGTCATTCTTACACGAAAGAAATTTCTTGCAATTAGGTTGTCAATGTCTCAGAGTTCATTAATATCTGCCATGGTTAACATCCTTTTGAATTGAATCTGAAAATAATTAAATTTGACGACTTAAAATTCTTAATGAGATACTTGAGATACTTGTGTTTTACGTTCTTGAGCAGAATTATAAAAACTAAATTTTGGTTAGTTTTTGAATTTCGAATTCTTGAAATAAAACTGATTAAAACTAAATTCATTCATTTTAACGTCAATTAATTTGTGTTGACATTATGAGTAAGATTTATGTTTAGTACATTCTTTCAGATATAGGTGGGAATGCATGAACTCACTTATTGACAAAGAGATATTTCATAAATAGGGTAGAGTTATAGGCTTTATAGTAGATATCTTGGGCACATTCCTTATAGAATACATCTGATATTGACATAGACAGCCTTCTAACATGAAAACATGAATCTCATAGTGAATTTAATGATTTGAGACGTGGTTGAAACTAGTGTAGTTAAAATTTAACATGAGAGGACTTGAAATTCATTTATCAGATATATCAAACACTAAAGAGGCATGGTCATGGGTTTTATGGCTTGTAATTACACGAATGGAGGTGGTGTAATTGAGGATAAATTAAGGAATGATGTGTTGTCGGTCAAACAAGTGAGAAGAGGAAGGTTAGAGCAAAATTAATATGTCATGTTGCTTTAATCTTTCCAGTAGAATGGAATTGAACTGAATGCATATAAGGATTCATGTACTTGACGCCGGCTTAGCCCTTGGCTATTGACTCATCCCCTTGCCTACAATCCTTTGGTCTATGGATGCCTTACCTAAGAAGTAAGACCTAGGGGTATGCTATTAGTTAACATGTAATACTTCTCTCTCCCTCTCTCTTCTTGCTTTCACTAAGGAACCTCCCTTAAGCATGGCTCTAAGGGCTCTACCTAGCCGACCTCAAATTTATTGGAAGGAGAGCCTCTGTTTGAGCCCCATTTAATGGAAAATTGATTTTGTAATAGTGATTTTTTTTGGAGAATGTGGTCAGAAGGTAGAGAATTTTTTTGGATTTACGTGTAAACTTATTTTGCCCATGTTCGATGGTCATTATTTGAAAAAAAAATGATGTTTTGAATATTGATTTTTTGGAAAAATTAGGAAAAAATTTCGGGTTTACATGCAAATTATTTTCTTGTGTAAATGTGTGGTTAGAAATGAGTGAGAATTAAAGAGTTTTGAAATAATGGTTGTCAAACATGGGCTTCTTTGAGAGTGTGTTTAAAAATGAGTTTGGGAAAAATGATTTTTTTATAAAATGAGGCTTAAATAGGGCTTAGTTTGCTTTTGTTGTTGTTGTTTTTTTTAATTATTATTAATATTTTTTTTTATGTCAACTCAAGCCTGTACTTATTTGTGGCTATACCATTTTTGATGAGTTTCCTTGGTTCTTTTGCCACAGGTACAATTACAAATTTTCGAGAACATGCGTATGAATGTTTTCAGGCTAATTCAAAGATGAATCTTTAAAGTTTAAATGATTAAAAATGCTGTAGAGGTGGTATCTGAGAACATACTTTAGCTCCCGTAACATAGATATGTTTTATGCTGTCACGCTAATGTTCCTCGTGCTCTAATCTTCTCTTTTATACTAGCTTTTGATTGTAGTATTCTTTTACTTGTCCACGACGATATTGATACCTTCATTTCCTTTGGTATGGCATTTGAAGTGTCCCATTTTCTTTCATGCATATTGGTTATTTTTGCTTTCTTGTTTTATTGACTTAAAAATTTAACAGACATTTTGCTCTTTTGTGCTGGAGAACAGATCTTACTGGAACACATGCTGCGCATCTTGTGTCGAAAACTAGATGGAGGCCTAAAAATCACACCTAGACGCGTATGTAACTATATATGTATTTGTTGAGTGTTATGCCGTTTTGCTTTTTCTTTCTAATTTGTGAGGATAAATATAATCCTTATTTTTGTTTAATTGTTATTGCGGGAATGTAGAAAATTGATTCCTCGACACTTGGCAGGTTTTGGCATCCCGACTTAAAATTGTTATTTTTATATTATCATGTCTAATCATATTCAGTATTGTCGAATATACCCGTGTTCATTATTTTGGCTGATGTTACAGGTGATATGCATACATATTTATGTACTTTTGCCCCTTGAGAAACTTGCTGTTTTAAAGAAAAAAATCTGCTGAACACGCTGTTCATTTACAGATATACAACATTCCAAATACGAAGACAAAACCCATTTGCAAATTCTATTAATAGATCCCCTAATCATATTTACAAACTACCAATGCTAGAAAGCTCGAAAAAATGACAGCAGCTCATAGAGTGTTCCATAGGATACTTCACTGAACATAAATGAGATGTAAACTTAGATGACGAAGAACTGACAGCAAGGGGTGATGGCCACAAGTGTATGTTGCGTATATAATGGGACGAGACTGATTTGTTAATATTGGAAGTCTTGTTTGATCTTCTTTACCAAACATGATATAAGATGTGTATCAAGATTGTATGTCATTAAGCAGGTTCATGAGGACGGGATGCCCAAAGTGAACTTAAAGCTCGAAGACGTTGGAAGTACTCTCCCAAGGCGAGGAGGCCTCGAGCAGTTTGGTGGATGTTAAGAATGCGAGAAATCTGCTGCAGGGTTTCTCGACGAAGATTATCTGCCTATTTACAGGAACATTTTGTTACAATTAGATTGATTCATGCTACAACAATCTCCAAAGGAGAGGATAAATTATGGTGAAAATCATAATAATTCACTAAAAGCTTTATAAATTGTTACTATCTAAGGGATCATATTAGTTTGGCAAGATTTTGAGTTAACTCAAACAAGATTTGTATTGCTAGTGCATTCTGAGAGGTTTTTGAAAGAGTGGTCATTCATTATTCTGAGTTAAGAAGCAAGCAAAATATACCTGATTCACAAATCTCACCAGAGGTTCCAACTTCTCCATCGCAGCTGCAAGCTGCGGGAGGTAGTTTCCTTCACCCAGTTGACCACCGCATACAGTTTCCACGACAATTTGGTGGAGTTTATCCATTCCCTGCGATAACGCGTCTTCTATTTGCTGACACGACTGTCTAAGGTTTTCAACCTCCAATTGTTGTTCATCTGATAAGGGTTCTAGGTGTGGTAAGAGAACCTGTCGAAAAATATAAAGTTATTGCCGACTACTGCCTCGTTTACAAGAGAATGGAAAGAGAATCTTGGACATAAATCAACTTCTGAGGATAGAATCAAAGCACGAACAAACGACACATCCAGTCTTGGTTCGAGGCAGAAAACTAGGGTGCTTATTAGAGCCAAATGAAGTTTGTTTAAGCACATTGTCTACCCATAAATGTCATGTGAGAGTTACGTCCACTTTTTGCAGCAGCAGACTAAGGATATTATCAGGTTTTCTTTCTCATACCTATCTGTCTAATTTAGCAAAAAAATGGGCACTCTCCGATTCCTGTAGGTGTAGAAAACTAGGAAGGCCTAATAAGAAAAGAAAACTCGCATCTACAGATATAATTAGGCTCCACAGAGTTCAATGCATTTCTTACGCTCTTAAACTATTCAGATCTCAAAAGTATGCCTTTTTGTTTCATAGAAATAAAGCACAAAATGTATGGATGACTATCTGAAATGAAGTATGCATAACAACATCACCTTTAGAAGCTCTGATGGTCGAAAACCCCCAATCCACGAGAAATAACGTTCAGCTGATGTTTTCCACATGCCGGACATAAGATAGAATACATCAGCCTTCGCAGCCGCTGCTTTCATGTTGAAGAGGTCCAAATAGTGCCTCATGCCACTATTGACAAAAAATTGCAATTCCATAACCCCGTTGCTAGACTGCAAAGCTTTCCTCAATTCAATCAGTTGTCTATTTTGTTCTTCCACCCATTGGCCATACGCCATTTCAAATGTAGCAATACCTCCACATTCAAACAAAGAATGTTAGTTTCAGACTCGCCGCCGTTCTATCAGAATTATAATGCTTGGCATTCGTAGCTTGGAAGATATCTATAACTATCAACAGTCGCCAGAAACGAAGAATCGGGTGGACACAAATCATAGCAGCTCTTTTCGAAAACTCTTAAACATAGAACTAGCTATTATATGTTCAAATGATCTCCTTATGGAAAATCTTATTGGATTGACCGTTTGGCCTCGTGAAAAAGTTACTAGCTACTCTTGACAGGAAACAAACTAAGAGACTCGCCAAGTTTATGCACTAATTTTGAACTTACTCTATCTCAGGATATTAGCAAATTTTGGCTGAGCTTAGAGAAAAAAAGGAAGAAGTAGTTGAATGAAAAGTAAGTTTTTGAACTAATTGTTAAGGAAACGTATTTACTTTTAAGTACTTTTTACACTTTTTCAAGATTAGCAGAAATCGACAGATAACTACAGCATATGAGCAAGAATACCTGGGTTCGTAGTTCCAGAGTAACCTTGCAGACTATAATCTAATTCACCACCCATGTACAGCCCCTGCAGCAAAAACTTTCGGTTAGACGTCTTTTCCCTATAAGAAAGGGGATCAATATTCACAAAATTGGATTTGGAAACAGAAAAACAAATAATGTGAAAATATTTATTTTACCTGTAGTCTAGCCCGTTGAAGCTCCTGTGTCACTTCAATCAGTCTCAATTTACTACTTTCTAACTTCTGAACATAGGCCTTCAAAACAATATTCATTTCACATCAGCAATTTACAATGTAAAGAGGAAAAAACGATATATAAACCGAGTTACAAAAATCCATTGTAGACGTCATCCTGTTACATCATTTAGCCATTACAGAAGGCTTTAATTCGTTCTCCGGCACATATAAGTATTTACTTCAGTGATAACCTTTCGTACCTTCTTCCGCATACGACTTTTTCGGGCAGCCTCACGGTTCTGTGCCAGTCGTCTCAGAACCTGTAAACCAAACTCCAATATAGTCACTAGCATTGAACATAACTATTTCTTAAAAGTAATTAGGAATTCAAATGCTGAAAGAAGAGTAACAAATCTCTAAAATATGATACAAGAAAGTCATCATCAGATCGAGGAAAAATTATGGACATTAACAAATTCGGATGCTCCTCGTTTATGCCTGAGAAGGGTTGTGATGAAGACTAAATTTGAATAAATGTAAGTGCCGCCTCTCTAAAAGCTCAAGTTTTTTATGAGGAGGTTCAATAATTACTACAACATAGTTCTTTATATATGTTTATAAACAATCAGAATATCAGTCTTATTCAAGCTTGCAAAGAACAAATTGTATATTTGAGAAGAACTATGATAACACAATGTCTTTACCTTATCAACTGGTTTACTCGCTACATGATCATATTTATTGGAAGGTCCTACTGTTCCATCTGAAGTGTCCTGTGGCTAGACATGTAGAACAAAATGGCAGTTAGCATGTAGGAGCCTAACATCGTTGAAGACTATACATAAATATATCACTGTGCCACCTTCTAATAGCTTAAGCTTATAGGAAATGTGGATAAACACGGTAACAGAGTATGTGCAGGGAGACTTTCCTGTGTTCAAGTCTCACTGCCACCCATAACTCCGTCCTGCACATGAGGGGGCGTGTAATTTTTCCCCACTCCATTAGTTTAAACTTTTAGATGAAGTGGTTGAACAAATACAGTGTGCATGAGTAGTAGTTACAATAAATTGCAGTCTAGTTTCCCCCAACCTCAAGAATCATTGATGGAGATGAGACCGAATAGTTATTTTCTTTGAAATCCTCTCACACGCAGACCGTCTCGTATATACGGATCCTTCTGGAGGGAACAAACAGAGTGGATGTAGAGTTCATTTCGTTCCACTGTATATTGAGAGAACAAAATGAGAGCTACCTCTATTTGACAGGTAAGTCAAAACAAGAAATATAAGTTAATTCAATAGTGAAGTCAAATAAAATCTTGACTTTATTTGCCTTAGAAATGCAAAGGAGAAGAAGAATAGTATCCACAAAAATTATGTCAAAACATATCTTTTTTCAGAAATTTTACATATTTTTCACTTGTTAATACGTTCCTTCCTCCTAATTTAGTTTAACTTAGCTGACACGATGCTCGAGTAATTTATTGTTTCACCGAGGGAACTGAAAAATGTCTCGGTGAATTCATTCTCATCGAGCAAGGTCTTCGGGAATCTATAATAGGAGCATAGTCTTTTATATCAAAGCTATAAAAATCAAACTTGACCAAAATTGAAACAAAACTTGCCATTCAAAATCAGCATTTACTGATAAAGATTTCTAGTCCTCCCAGCCTAGAGCTGGAATAAGAGATTCTTAAGAGAAAACGGACTCAATCCATAACACCTCGACTCAAGAGTTCAATGGCTCTTTCGGGAAGGTGAATTATGAAGTACTTCTGAGTGAAAGAAAAAGAAAAAGCTAAAATATTATCTATAACACCGTTTGTCCTATTCAGCCTACATAGCGTACGTACTCTAACGGTCTTTCCAAAAGCACACGTGAATCAAAACTTCGCTCCAATACAGAAGGAAGAAATGAAAATCATGAAGAGTTTTAAACACCTCTGATCTGATCAATCAATTATTTCAAACTCCCAAAGAGAATCCGATCCTCCTATTGACACTTATGTCTATTGGAAATGACAAATTTGAACAGCCAAATACACTTCTATTTGATCTATTACGCAAAAATGAAACTCGGAAATATATATGAAATAAGAACAAGATCACAAGATTTATGCGGAAATCCAAGATGGAAAAAACCATGGACAGAGGAGGAAAAATTCACCATATCAAATATGAGTACAAAAGGTGTCACTACTCCGAATATGTACAATACAATGAAATCCTAACATATAATGGAATCTTAATAGAACAGACAGAATTTGGATCACCGTACTCTAACAGGATCTTGAAGATATCAAAGTAAGAGGAAACATACAAATTAAGAAACATACACGAACTACATATGCATAAAGACATAGACATAGAGACTTATATACATCAAGTGTGTGCACAGATATATAGAGCATGTAATAAATGGCTTTATTACCAGGTTCTTCAAACAGCTTCAAGATTAGAGCACCTGCATACTATTTTCTCATCTAGCTAAAATAGGAAAATCATAATAAACATTTAAGGGCTTAGACTACTACTCCTTTTGAGAAGGCTAATCCTCGAGGCTCAGTACAGTATCTTAGTCCAAAAAGCTCATAACAAACAGTTGGATTCTGAGACTGATGGTCTCAAGAGATTCACCGTTTTGTGGGGCATAGTAAGTGTAAAATAATACGAAAACAATGATCAGATTGGGTTACTCTTAACGATGTTGGAACCCAAGGCTCGATACAAAGGAATCTTGGAATCAGTAAAATTAGAAATAAGTATAAAAAGAGAAGAATTATAACAAATCTTTCATGTGTAACATATTAATCTCCTACACTTTCTTGAAAACCATAGAAGAAGAGAATTAGAGGGAGAAGAAATGACCTTTAAACTAGAATAGAAGAAGATCCCACTTCAAGAACAAGCTTTCGCCTTTCCACTAGCACTCCAAAAAAGAAACCCAAAGTAGACTACTATTTCAAAACCATATTCCAAAAGTAGGTTTTTGCATTAAAGAAGAAGAAGATTCGAATATGATTGTGAAAGCAACATCTATTTCCAATATTATTTTTCGATTTAAATGAGAATTAAAATTTAATATATGCATGCATACATTATACAAACATCTGTGTGTGGGTGAGGATCTGTGTATGTGTGAAAAGATAATCGCAATTTGTAGCGTGAAAAGGTGCAGTTAAAAATAGACAAGAACGGTGTTGGTCATGTTTCCACTTACAAACAAGGAGCTAGAAAACAGCGTTGTGTGTTTTACGTGTACTTAGAATATGCGAAACAGGTCACCTCATGACACTTTTCTCACTTGTTCCTCGACTTTGATAACCCCAACCCCACCCGGTCTCATCTAAAATTTCAAAAGAGAATAATAGAGTCCATTTATTTAAATATTGTGTTCAACATAGTTCGTTATATATAGAATGAAATTATTTTTGTCAAATGTTTGACATGCGTATAATTTTAATAAGTGGGTAGCGAAAAAAATTAGAATAAAGTTATTTGTACCATCTTTGTTGCTAATCAATGTGTTGTCAAGATTCGGACCGTTGATTTAAAAAATAATTTTCAAAATAGATATTATAGATTCATGTCAACTCATAATCGTCAACCATTGTTGTACATTAGCATGGCTCAAAAATTTAAACTCAAGATTTTGATTTCATAATAATTTTCTTGTCTAAAATCTTAAGATGCCAAAGAAATAATTTGTTTAAATCTTGTTTTGGACATATCCCCCTACTCCAACTTGGATAAAAGTTTGATTTGACAAAAATAAGAAGAAAGAAGAAAATCTATTCTTAGAAGTACATAGCTTTTTACATGTTAATTAATCCATTTATATAATTTAAAAGAATAATGTTGACATAATAATAAACTTTGCATAACTTTTTTGAGAAATGTTAAATGACAAGTGTGTGTGTGTGTGTGTG